GGGCGATAGGTCCGCGGGAGCTGGGTGGGCGGGGCGATAGGTCCGCGGGAGCTGGGGGGCGGGGCGATAGGTCCGCGCGAGCTGGGGTGGCGGGGCGGGGGTCCCAGGGTCAGAGCGCCTCCAGGACCCTCACCCCGGCCGGCCCTGCACAGTGCGCCTCCACCACCTTAGCCATTTGTTTGCAAAAGGGTTTTTGGTTCTCAGCAGTTAGGCCTCCCTCCCTCCTCCTTTCTTTCCTTAAACGGAAAGGAAGCCTCCCCTTGCCCGGGGATTCCCGGGAAAGGTATGGCCTCCCGCAGCCAGCCGGGAGCCCGCACTCGGCCCACAGAGGCGGAAGGAAAGAGGAGCGGGGAACGGGTCACGACACCCTGGGGTCATGGGCTGGACACGGGGGCCCTGAAGCTCGCGAGCTGACCGGACACCCAACATGGCCCACAGTATACCCCTTCGTGGGGGACTCCACGGTGACCAAGTCCTGCGCCGTCAAGTGTGTGCCCTCGGACGTGGACGGCATCGGCCAGACCCGGCCCGTGTCCTGCTGCAACACGGACCTCTGCAACATAGACGGGGCCCCTGCCCTGGCTGGTGGCTGTGGCCTGGCCTTGGCGCTGGCGCTCCTCCTGCTGGGCAGCCTCGGCCTCTAGAGCCCCCGCCACCTCTGTCCCCACCCCCACCCCGCCCCCTGGGAGCCAGTCCTGAGTGTCCCTGAAGAAGCATTGTTCCTACACCACGCCTCCTGAATCTCCTTTTTGGCAGCCCTGTCCCACCAGGGCGGGGAGGGCTTTGAGCCTCGAGTCCAGCTCCCTCCACTTGGCCCTGTTTCCCCCTCCCACCCCTTCTCAGCCCCTCCTCTCCTGGTCCCTTCCTGCCCCCCTGGCCTCTGGGTTCTCTCTGGGGCTCTCCTCACCCACATGGCTGCCTCCGTCTGTCTCCGTCTGTCTCCTCTCCACATACCAAGATGTGCTAAGCAGGGTTGGTCACTAGGGCAGGGAACCAGGCAGGGCTCTGCTCTCTGGGCCCTGTGGGGGGCCTGACTGTGGTGGGACAGAAAGCGGGACCCCACAGGCAAGGGCAGCACTCACCTGCCAGGGTCGGATCACAGGTGGCTTCTCAGAGGAGGGGGCCATTAAGGCCAGGCTTTGAATGACAGAGATCGTTTGGGTAGAGGAGCAGGCCAAGTCGGGTGGAAGGAAAATCCAGGCGGGCTCAGAGTGGCCTGGGATCCAGGACCCGTGAAGCGCCTACTGCCCGCTCACCTGGCCCCTGGTGACATGGCCCCCTTCTGTTGGCTGGCTGGGCTTGCTGCTGGGTGTACCCACCACCTGCCTTCTCCAGGCCCACCGAGCCCCACTCCCTGGGGGCCTAGGGCGGCCCAAGCTCCAGCACAGACGGGACCTTCACTCTGTCTTGACCTTGGCCCGCACTGAATCCTCCAGATCACCCTCCCGGGAGTCGCCTACCCCAGAGGCCTCTTGTCCGGAGGGCTCCCAGCTCTGCACCTGGGTTGAGACTCGATGCTCACACACACATGCACACACACGTGTGTGCGTATACACGTGGTCCTGGAAACACACAGTGCGGGCCATGGACTTGAGGAGGACAGGGCCCCGCTGTCTTCCTCCCCAGGACCGCTTGAGGGAGGCAAGAGGGGGAGGGGGGGAGAGGGCCTCCAGTCACACTGGAACCTGCGCCTCCTCCCTGTCCTCTTGCTCCAGCAGCTCCTCCTGGGCCTCTGGGTGAGTTGGCCCGGTCCTGGGAGGGGGGCACAGCACTGGGGTCCAGCCTGAGTTGGGGCTGGGAAGCCCTCTTTCTGGCTCATCCCCACTGGCCTCTGAGTCCAGAGAGCCCTCACAGTCAGCCCTCGCCCCCCTTCTGGGGTTTCCTTCTCTTGGATGGTAGAGAGCAGCAGCCAGGACCTGAAGCAGGTCTCTCCTGGGGCAAGGGACACCCCATGCCTCTGAGACAGGAGACCAGTGGCCAGAAGGCCTGCTATCCCTGGGACCCCCGGAACTCCACATCTCTGCCTCCTGTGACAAGACCTTCCATCTCAGCGGCTCTGTGGTCCTGAGCCAGATCGTGGGGGACAGGACACCCCCCCCAGCCCAGCAATCCCTGTACCACGTGTCCAGCACAGACTGGTCGCACAGCCTGGCCACCATCTGCCAGAGACCCCTGACTCCGGGAATGGCAGGGAACCTGGGAGGCCAGGCATGGCCAAGTGCTGTCAAGATGACTCCGTGTGGGATTGTAGCTCTGAACTCTGACTTGACCACGGAAAAGGCCCCGTTCAGTAATTCAGCACCCGTCTCTCCTGGCGTTCCTGTGTCTCTCACAAAAGTGAGGAGAGTGGCAGGGTCACTTGAGCCCTAGAGCCTGGTTTGGGACCCAGTACGCGCATACACACACACACACACACACACACACACACACACAGCCCTCCAGGGAAACATGGGAACACTGTGTGTCCCCCCATCCTGGCCACTGCTCCTGCCTGGCCTTCCCTCCCCTCCGAAGCCAGAGCCAGGGCCCTTCCAGGCAGCCTCCGACAGCACACGGGGTGTCTCCCGCTCCTGCCCACCCCAGCCGCCTTCTCGGCACACTCGCCCCACCACTGCTCCAGGTTCCTGTCCGCCCCTCGTCTTCCCAGCTGCCCTCGGAGGCACAGGATGTTCTGCCTGGTTCCAGGTGAAAGAAAGGGGGTCAGGAGGGTTCGTGAGCAGACTGGTCGCACAGGAGGTCAGGTGGGGCCAGGGCCCACTCAGTCTGTCAGACTCCGCACTAGACACTCCCCAGTTCCTCTTGCAACATCCGGGGCGCAGTCGCGGGACCAGGCCCCAGGGAAGGGCCGCCGGCTGCTGTCCGCGCCCGCACCCGCCACGTGAGGCCCGGCTGTTGGCCTGGCAGCCACCGCGGCCTCTCCCTTCGCAAGTGGCGCCTCCCTTGGTTTCCTCAGTCCGCGAGGCCCCATCACACCTGCCCTCAAAACCGCCCTGGGTCCCTAGTCTCATCCTACCCACAGGAGTACGGTCTAGAGGGGCAAGGGAGTCACCTCAAGGCCACACGTGCAGCCAGCAGCACAGCCAAGACCGAAACCAGGACCAAAACCAAGACCTCCTGAGTGCCAGTCCCGCTCCTCCAAGCACGTCATCCCGCCGGGAGGCTGCGGGGTGACTCCATACCCAACAGCAGGGCCCCCTCCACACACCCAGCTGCAGCACACTCATACTCTGTCCTCGGCCACCTGCCCAGCCACCTGCTCTTCCGTCCACCATCTACCGCCTCCCCCCATCTCTCCTCCCTCCTTCATGCTTGCCCCAGCCATACCCTCCACCTTCTACCCATCCACTTCCTCAAACATCGCCCGCCCGCCCGCCCACCCACCCACTTACCCAACCAGCCACCCACCCATCTCCTCACCCGCTCACCCACTCACCCACCCACTCATCCATCATCCATCCTCCCATCCACCACCCATTAGGCCGTCCGAGGACAGAGAAACTAGAGGGTCTGGAACACCAGGAAGACCCCTGGATGAGGGGCACCTGGCCTGGACCTTCCAGCATGGGGAAGAGTTGAGGCCAGGACGGGAGGCCGGAGAGGGCGCCCACCAAGAGGCAGAGAACAGACAAAGGTGTGGGTGCGGGAAAGACTGCGGTGAGAGGTGGGTCGTGAAGAACTGGAGAAGGCCGTTAGGTCGGGAGCCAGGGGTTGGGCAGAGCCCTGTTGTCTGGGGCCTAAAATCGGGAAGCTCAGGCTTGGTCATTTGTAGGGAAGGGGCTGGCAGTGACTGTGGGGCCTGCCTGGAGCCCACACCCATCAGCCCGAGAGGAGCCTGGGGGGCCCATCCCACCCCACGTGACACCACCCCCACCCCACCGGGCGCCCACCCTCCTCTGCACCTGGCCCGATTCCCCGCCCCCGGGGCCTGTGCTCCGGTGGGCTCCTGTGTCAGGAGGAGGACATCTGGGTGTGAAGGAGACTGGCCTGCGTCCGGGCCAGGCCCCCGTTTGGTGCCTGGGTGGCGTCCTTGCAGGCCGGCACCAGACAGGCTCCAGCCATGGGGGTCCCCCTCCCTGAGGGCCTGGGAGTGATGCTGCCTGCCTGCCCACCAGCCCGCCCACTCCCTCCCACTCCTACCCTGTGCCACCCAGCTGACTCACACGCCTCTTCCGCCACCACCCTGGCAGGCCCCGCGGGGCGGGCAGGGTATAAGTGTCCACGGAGGCGGCCCTGGTGCTGCCTGTCCCGGCTTCCGAGCGTGGCAGATGGCCTGGTGCAGGGCTGTCCTCCCACTGCTGCTTATCGCAGCATCCAGCATGTGTGGTGGTAAGCGGGATGGCTGGGAGGGGACCGGTCATCGGCCTCACTTGGCCCACTTCCTCAGCGGGGAAGAGGCCCTTCAGGCACTGGGGCAGAAGGCCTCAATAGGCACCCCCGAGGCTCACCTCCCTGGCCCTAAATCAGCCTCCTGGGCCCTAGAGCCTTTGCTCGGGACAGGCTTCAAGTCCCCATTTTCTAGGCAGGAAAACCAAGGCTCAGTGGAGGAATGCGGCATTCGGTCCACTGGCCGGAGCCCTGGGCCTCGAAGGGTCGCAGTCAAGCAGGGGTGGGCCCGGGGGGTATGCCGAGGGGTAGACCGCACTTGGCCTCTGCTCCAGCCTCCCAGACGGCCCTCGAGGCCCGGTGATGAGGTCTGCCCCATGCCCCGCCCAGGTGAGGCCTTCAAATGCTTCACATGCGAGCAGCCCACAACCATTTCGTTGTGTAAAAACATCACTCGCTGCAAGCCGGAGGCCACGGCCTGCCAGACGGTGCTGGTGCAGGTGGAGTCGGGTGAGTCCGGCCCACAGTGGTCACCTTCCCCAAATGGTCCTCAGGGTTGGGGGGCAGCGATGGAGGTCCCACAGATTGGCTCTGGGGTGCACAAGGGCTGCATCAGCCTCGGGACTCCAGGCCCCCCCCAAGGCTGCACGGCACGCCCCAACAGGCGCCTGAGGGAGGAGCATGTACTCATTCCCAGGCCCGGCCTGGGGGGTGGGTCACGGGTGTCCCTGGCAGAGTCGAAAAGAGCTGGAACAGGTGCCTGAAATTTGGGGCAGCTGGGGAGGGCACTAGGCAGCGGAGGAGCAGGCTCTGATGCCTGTCCACCCCCGGCAGAGTACCCCTTCAATCAGAGCCCCAAGGTGACCCGTTCCTGCGCCAGCTCCTGCATAGCCACCGACCCCGACAGCATGGGAATTGCCCACCCCGTCTACTGCTGCTTCTATGACTTGTGCAACTCCATGCAGAGCACCAGGCTGGGGGCCAGCCGCCGGGGGCCAGCCGCCGGGGGCCCTGCTCCTCGGCCGCCTCCTTCCCTGAAGGGCCCAGCGCCACCGGAGATCGCCTCTACCCACGTGCTTCCTTGAGCTCCCCGAGCCTCAGGTGAATCATGCGCCCCAAGGGCTGAGAGTCTTGCCAGGGGCACTCTGTCTCCCACCCTTGCAGAGGATAAATAAAGACGAGGCAGAGGCCACTTCTTTCCTTCCTGGGTGCCGACAGCGCACGGAGTCACCTTTCAGGAGAGCCGGGCTGAGTCAGGCACATTCTGGGCCCCTGGCCTTCCTTCTCACCCAGGGCCATTTGGACTCATTTCACAGAAGGGGAAACGGAGGCTCCAGGGGAGAAAGGCATCCCGGGCTGGCCTTCCTGCAAACCAGTCCCATGGTACTTCAGAGCAGGACCGGTGCCTTAGCCCAAGGGGAGTCTGCCCCTACTCCCAGAGTCTCCCCTCAGCCCCCGGAGGCATCAAGCCCACCCCCCGTTCCCCGGGTGGGAAGGAAGCTGGAGTCAAGGATGGGCACGCCCGGCTCTACTGGGCCAGAACAGGGAAGCTGGGAAGAGAGCTGTGGACTTGCAGGGAGCCTGCCCGCCCAGCCCGGGCGTCCCAGGAGCGTGTGGGGTGGGGTGCCTCTGGGCCAGCGGACACCCACACACCTCCACGGGCTTCGGTCACCTCCCCTGACAAGGGGCCCACCGTGTCCTTGCCGCGGGGACAGCTGCAATGAGAAGAAACAGTGTGCATGGAACCTGCCAGCTCGTCCCAGACCCCAAGGGCCAGCGCTGGGCTCTGTGCCCTGCGGGTCCGGCAGCAGCCCTCCCAGCCAGAAGACGGGCAGCCGTGGCCCCCCAGGCTGGCCTCAGACTCCTGCCTTCCCCTCACGATGATCCCCAGCTGGCCCTGGTCATGACCAGGCTTGGCAGCCCTGGAGGGGGGTGGGGGCAGGAGCCACGCCCCACACACAGCAGCCTCAGAGCCTGCGGCTGCCCCTTTCCAGGCCCAAATGCCCACCAGCGCCCTGGGCGGGGCCCTTTCCAGGCCCTGCATTATGGGCAGTCTTCCTGAGAGCTTCTAGCGGGCCCCGGATTTGGAGGTGAGGGGCCAGGGCCACGGCCTCCCCATGGGGACACCGCAGCTCTTGGCTTCAGCTTCCAGGGGTCGACAAGGATCCTTCTTCAGGATGAGCAGGGTGGGCTGGTGGGAGACTCCGGAAGCCACCCCAGTCCTGGGGGAAGCAGGCAGGTGGCCCCAGGGACCTGCGGGGCCTCCGCACTGCACCGGCACGGCCAACAGAGGGCGCCCCTGCCCATCACCGCCGCAGCGCCAGGCTGCTGCGCCCTCCCCCGCCGGAACTGCGCACTCCCCCCCCACCACCACCCCGTGAACTCAGCCAAGTTGAGCTGAGGAGAGCCCCTGAGGTCTGTAGGCCTGAGAACAGCTCCCAGCCCTACACAGCCCGGTGTGCCTCAGGAGCTGGGGAAGCCGCACACGGGGTCCTGGGAGGACGGGCCCTGGGGTGGCTGCGGTGCTGCTCACACCGGCAGGGGACACTTGGGGCCTTGGAGGAGGGGGCACGTGTGGTCACAGAGAATGCAGAAGGACGGGAGGTCATCCACGCGCGGGACGCTCAAACCCCACCGGGGCCAGCCCCGTGCCCTGGTCAGCAAGCCCCTCCCGAACTCCGTGGCTAGACCTCCTCCACACAGCAAGGGCGAGAGCGAGCCTCTCCTCCCCCTGCCCCCACCCGCTGGGGCGTGTCTCCCTTGAGAGGACAGAGAAACTGCAGTGGCCCCTGGGACACGGTGATGTGCAGCCCGGACACCCCTGACCATCCTGAATGCCTCCTACAGACGCACAGACCCATCCTGCCCCCCAACCCCTGCCCCACTCCAGGGTGCCAGCTGGTCGCCCGTACCATGTGGACCCGCAGGGACCCAGACCCACTGTGCGCACACCCTCCCCTGTCCCCACTTGCACTGGGGAATGTGTCCCTGACAGCTGCGGCGATCCCCAAGCTCCCCACTCCCCGCACGTGCCCCACAGGACCTGCCCAAACACCCGTTTGACAAGGAGATGCAGATGTCCACGGGGGTGCCCGAGGGCCCCCGTGGGCCGGAGGCTGGCTGCTCAGGGCAGGGGCGAGGCCCAGCGTGGCAGCCCAGGGCGCCCCGGCCTGCCTGGGAGGTGGGAAGAGTGAGGCATCACGCGACCTCCCTGGCCACAGACCACTGGCCTGCCAGACCGCATTGCTTCCCCCATCACCGAACGCCAGCTGATAATCCGACTTTCCCAATCACCCATTATTTCCCAGGCTCAGCAGGTGGTCAGAGCATGACGTGGCCCCTGCTGTCTCCCGCTCCCCCGCCACCTTCCGTCCTGGCAGCCCCACTTCTTACCCTCGTTCAGGGGCTGGCAGAATGAGCCCCATGCTGGCCCCACCCTCTACCCACCACGGTCCGCTGAACCCTGCCCCACCTGCCACCCCACAGCCTCACCTCAGTAACCCCAGGCTCCGAGGCCTGACCTCCCAGACTCCTTGGGAGGATCTGGGACCAAATCAGAAAGGAGCACCAGCCACCCACAGACTGGGACAGCCAGGTCCAGGGGTTGGGGACGAGGAAAGCGGCACAGCCTACAAGGGTTTGGGGCCATCCTTCATGGCCTTGGTCCCGTGTTCTGTGAGATGGGAGCACATCTTGCTCTGCCTACCTGCTTCCTAAGTTCACAGGGGCCCAAGAAGCCTAGACAAACCCCCCACAGGAAGAGACTGCCGTGAGCGGCCCCCTGCTTCCCTGGGGGGGGGGCAGGGCTGGACAAACAAGGACTTTCCCCAGCACATGGACATCAAAACCCTTTAATCTTGGGTTTTCTTTAAATAAAACAGAAACATTGCAGCTTTCCCATTGCAGCTATAAGGCAGAGGTCAGCGTGGGGGGCAGACAAGGGCTCGGGGCACTGCTGCAGTCTCTGCTCCAGCTGGCAGTGGGCTGCCCAGACAGGGCGACAGAGGCGGTCCAGGGGCTCCATGGCTCCGGCCTACACCACAGGGGACCACACAGAGGCGGCCCCTCGTCCTGAGCACACCCAGGAGCCAGTGCCAATCCCACCCCCGGGGCTCTGACCCAAGTCCTCAGCCAGCTCTGCACACCCCTGCCTTGCTGTCAGCGCCCTGGGCCACCATCTGCTTCTCTCCAGGCCTTCCGGACTGGAGGGCAAGTGATTAGGCAGGAAGAGGTAGCTGTGCTGGTGTCCCAGCAGCTCCGGGACCCACCAGGGAGCCACACAGGCAAACCCCGGAAGACCCTTCCCCAGCCCCAGCCCACGGAGCGAGGCAGCCCCTCGGCGAAGGGAAGGCAAAAGTCGCCAGCAGGATGCCTGTTGAGGACGACCCCAGGAGGAGGGCAGACGGGTGAGGTGCTGTAGGCCCGAAGAGGGTGGGGTCTGACCCACAGTCCCAGAGCAGCCCAGTGAGGACCCAGGGGTGCGGATGAGCAAGGGCAAGGTGCAGAGAGCACCCAGGCAGAAGCCTGCTCCCTCCTCCGGCAGGCCCCAGCTAGGACAGGAAGCTCACCACCAGCACCCCTGTGCCATCCGACCTGACGGGCTCCGGCACAGCGTCTGGCCGCAGGCCCTACCCACACCCTGGGGGAGCCCCTCTACCCTCTGGTCAGCCGGCCTGGGCCCTGATTGCCCAGACTCCACCCTGGGCCTGCCCCTCCCCATCCGCAGACACAGGGCTCTGCCTCAAATTCGGTTCTGACCCTTTGCAGATCCTCACCAGGACAGAATCAGGCCTCACCCCGGCAGCCCGTTCAAATTCCAGGCTCCAGTGCTCAGGGTGGCTTTAGCTGGTCCCTCTGGTCCAAGCCCTCTCCCGACTGGAGCCCACGGAAACTGGCTTCACCTGCCAGGTAGGGCCCAACCTCCATCCCCATCCCCCCACATTGAGGGCCCTGGGCCTCCCACTTTCCTCATCACCTCCAACCCAAGGGCAGAGCTGGGTCAGGGTCTCTGTTCCCGGGTCCAGTGCCCAGCATGGCATAGGGGAGGGAGTGGTGACTACTGGCTGGGGGAGGGAGGGCCTGAGCATGGGGAAGGGGCAGGGCTGAGACGGACTTCAGCAGCGGGGACAGCCCAGCCGGCCCCGTCCATCCTGCACTCTCCACCCCTGGCAGGCACGGACGGGAGGGCAACCGCCCCCAGTGTGAGGCCGGTCAGCAGGGTGCGGCAGTCACTGGTCCTTGGTGATGTCACGGAGTCCACTCTCGGCCCTGAGCAGCTGGCTGCTGGCCTCATTGTAGGCGACCCAGTGCCGCAGGTCTTCGGGTAGCTCAGGGGGCTCCACCTGCAGGGGGAGACGGTGAGGTTCCTACCAGCAGCAGCACCGCAGGCGGCAGCTGGGCTGCCAGGAGGGGCCCCCGCTGGGGTGCTGCCTTCACACCTCTGCGCCTCTGCTCATGCTGTTCCCTCTTCCAGGTGCCCCTCCCCGAGGCCCTCAATGTCTGCATTTCCCCCTGGCCAGTGCTCACGACCCTATCCTCTGTCACGAGGCCTGTCTCCCCAACGGGGCCACATCTGAGCCTTCTGTGTGTCCCCAGAACCCAGGCGAGAGCCTCTGAGGCCAGCTGGCTGGAAAGAGGAGGAGAGAGGGGCTCAGAGGGTGTCAGGAGTCTAGAGCAGGGGAGGGAGGGGGGGCGAGTAGCAGAAGGGGGAGGGGTGGAGGGGCCGCTGTCAGAGCCCCTCTGCTGGGTAAGTGCCAGACAGGGGTCTGCCTGAAGCCCCTGTCCTTCCCGAGTGCATCAGGAGAAGCCGAACCTACAGCTCTGGGCCTGGCTAATGCGTCCCCACCCCTGCACACCCAGCCACCATTCTGTGCTGGGGAGGCAGGCAAGGTGCGGGCTCAGGCCTGAGAGGTCACAGGTTGCAGATGGGCTGTGGGCGTTCCCAGGGGCAAGGGGAGAAGCGGGGGCAGAAGCGCTCGGAACTGTGCAGCCCCGGCCTCCCCTGCAGACAGGGGTGCTCTGTTCAGCATCCAGGCCAGGCTTTCAGGAGTACTGTCCTCCCAGCCAGCTGTGGGGACCAGCTGCG